CCACACCCCCCCCCCCCCCCAGCCGGTCCCGCTCTGCAGTGGCTCTCGGAGACAACCTTTCTGCAGAGCTTTGGGGCAGAGGATGCCGGGGCTCTCCCTGTCCCCAGGGAGGGACCATCCCAGCCCTGGTGCAGAGAGCTGAGCATCAGATTGGGGTAGGCTGGGGGGGAGCTCAGCATCGCCTGCAGCGCCCCCGTGCCCTCCCCTGCTCCCGGCAGCTGAGCAGCACCTGCTCGGCGTGGGGAGGGACGAGGGAATCCGAGCAGAAAATCATCCTACGCGGTCCCACGGTGGGGCAAACGCCGCAGCCAGCCCTGCCTCGCTGTGCCGGGGGACAGGAGCCCGGGGCAGAGCCACCGCGGCCGGTGGGGGCTCGCTGTTGCAGCTCCTGCTCTCCCCATCCCTCCCTCCCTCCCTTCCCCCTCGCCGGCAGCTGCGTTGGGAGCAGATAGAAACGTCCGAAGCATCTGGGAAGACATCAAACATCTGAGGGCGAGGAAGCAAAGCCAGCCCTGGAGGGGCACCTCCCCGGGGTGTGGGAGCCAGGGATGGAGGTTATGCCTATCAGGGGAGACAATTCACACCCATTTATAATCCGGCAGAGGGAGGAGCGGCCGTGAGAAGGATAAAGCACCAGCCCTCACCTCTGGGGCTGCGGCTCCATCCATCCATCCCACCGCTGCCACCGAACAGGGTGAGCCGCTGCGTTCCCAGCCGCCGGAGCGGCCCTTTGCCCGGCCGGGAGGATGGTGAGGGCTTCCCCGCTTTGGGGACATGCCCCCGGCTCCCAGCTGTGTCCCCAGCCCCACGGCATGTCTCGGCCGTGTGCCCTCGCCCCCACCTCAGGTCACAGCACATCGTGGGGTCACAAAGCTCCCCAGACACACCAGAGCCCAGGGCCACCCTCCGGCAGTGGGGATGCTCCTACATCTGCGAGGCAGAGCCATCTCCTCGTCCCACGCAGCTCGTGGCATCGGGGGGGCACGTTCTCAGGGCCCCCCGCCAGCTCCAGCACCCCCCAGAGCAGGCGGGACCCAACTCCCCCTGCTCCAGAAGAAACTCTCTGCTCTCAATTCTCCTTTTCCCCTTTGAAACAGGAGGGAAAAGGGGCCTTTTGGGACTTCCCGGTCAACGTCATGACCCTGGAAAGCCCTTTGGGTGGGTGTCCAGGTGGCGTTTCGACACAGCAAAACACAGGATTTTCATCCCAGTTTGGAACTGGAACTCCAGAAAGGGAACCTGGTCTCAAAGGTCATTGAAAAACGAAACCGAAACTCAGAGCGTTTCACTCCTGGAGCCACACTCAGCGCTGCCAAAACACCACCCGTCAACCCAAACCCCAGCAAAACCAACACTCCAAAAGCACTCGCAGCGAGAACGGCACGGTTCCCCCCAAACCTGATCCCAGCACACACTTTCAGGCAACTCTTTGTTTCCCCCAGGTCGCAGACAAAAAGCTGAACTCCGAAAACTGAGGGGGGCTACGCTCCCGGGAGTTTCCAGAGGGGGTTTGGAGATGGATCCCCCCACCAGGACCTGTCACCAGCATTTCTCGGATGGGCGGTGGGAAGGGTCCGGAGCTTATCCCTGTCCCCCAGGTTCCGGCCCCGCAGCCGGGGTGTCCCTGTGCCAGGCTCTGTCCCCCCTTCACTGCCCAGGAGCCACCCTCACCGCGGGCTGGGCGCGAAGGACACGGCTCCTTCCACGCACCCCAAAGCCTCCCATCGCCGGGGCAGATCTGCAGCGCTCGCCGCAGCGATGTGGCGACCTGCAGGATGCGGCCAGTTCGTTATGTGCTGCAAAATAAAACCAGGCAGCTGCTGTCCCGCACACACCAAGCCGACCAAACGCCTTGAAAGCAGCCGGTGCCGCTCACTTCCAACCTGTTGCCTTACGGCAGGAGGAGTTTCTTCCTCTTCACGCCCATACGACTCCTATTAATAGCAGAGCAAAGCCCAGTCCGGTCCAGGCTCTCCGGAGGAGGCAGGATGTGAAGCCGGCCGATGCCAAAGCCTCTTCCATCATTTTTCTACGTATTTCCACCCTCGGGAGGAAATCCTGCCCCAGGAAGATGGGTCGGGTTTGGGACGGGAAAGCCCCCACTGCGGGGCAGTCGAAGGAGGGAGCTCTGCAGAGGAACCCCCCAGAGTCCCACGCGACGGGAGCCGAGCCCCCAGTGGGGACAATGGGGGTGTCCCAGCCAGGTGTGGGGCAGGAGACAGCGTGGGTGGGGGGATGTCAGAGCCCCCCTTTGCAGCGAGGTGCGACAGCCAGACGCTCGGCTGCACAGGAGATGCTGAACCTCACCCAGCACCTGCGAAGCGATGGGGACGA